CGCTAATCCAACAGCCAGCAGTTTATCATCTCGCTCAACTACCAGTCCCCCCTAACGCTGATCAGATTTTAACCCCGATCCGCCACCCCCCTCTTCCCCTCCCCTGACAACCGCACTATTTTTTATACCAACACGCATAGTTTATTTACTTAATAATCATATAAATGTAAAGGCCTGGCGAGAATTTATCTAAAACAAACGTATGTTCGCCAATTTACCTTCTATACAATAAGAGACACAAACTCGTACGTAGGACTCATGTTGTAGAAAAAAACGCCTCCAGAGGGTATAATTCTAAGGCGACGGTTAGTTGTGCAGCCTGGTGTTTATCGGCTAACGAATACTGCTTGTAAAGAATAACGCATAATTTGGCATACAGTTTATGCCGTTCCCCGACTCTAGGAGATTTCAGCATGGGGACATGAGAGGACGTGTGAATTTGCTTTGGAGGAAGCACCTACAATATGTGTTAAAGAGCTTAGGAGGAGGCGGGGAAGAAGGTTCTACCTCAAATACACATATAAATTAGCCGAGCGTAGGTAGGTGAACCTCGCCTCACAAGTCTCTCAGTGGTTAATGCGGGGAGGTTAAAGGTAGTAAGCAGCAAAGAGGGGAGGTCAAAGTTCGTGCGTCCAGCACGGTTATAATATGAGGCAAGCAGCAAGACTGACTAACTCAGGACCATCAGACGCAGCAACCGTAACATTTTGACGATGTAAATGAAGTTTCCGAAACGTCCGTACAAACAATTCGGTCCACGAACTCGCTTCGTCTTCTTCGGGAGATAATGAACGCGGTGTATCAACAAGTAAACTTCTTATGAACGCACTGCAATTTCCTATCAGGTGAGAAATTCAGATGTGCTTTTTCCTATAACATTAATATGAGAAATCAAGCTTCTGAGCGTCCTTTTTGCGAAAGAGAAGGTTAAGTTACACAAAACTACGGGATAAATAGACCCAGCTTTGGTACAGATCTTGGCCCGGGTGCGATTTATACAGTTGAACGCGAAAACGTTGCCTGTAGGGGCTATTCCATGTAAGTAGGTATAGCAACCACTTCTCGATTATATTTTACACACGAAAAGCAGCATGGTTCAACCGATTCTCATGGGGTCCGACGCTTGTGCCACGTAAGTTGATCGATTTTTTTTATAAAGTAGCTCAATCCTTAAAAAATATACAGTTGAGGCCCACGGGGTGCCTAGTCAAATATTCTTCCATATCAACATGAAGCATATCATAGAAAACGCAAATTTGTAGAAAATAAATCGAAGCGTTAATCGAGTTTTACTCAATGACTTTCATACTCAGAGTAGGGGGGAGGGTTTATCTGACTGAGTAGGTTGTCAATGGCATTCTGGGATTGAAAGATATGGTTACGTTCAGTTCGGTTCAATTTCAGTGAGGGGAAGATGAGTAAACTCCTTTGAGCTGCCTATTGGTGACATACTGCCTGAACCATGCATCGATACAGCATAAAAGTCCAAACAGTGGTCGTTCAGATGATTGCATGACATTGTCATGATGTTGGATAGTTGCCGGGCACGTTTCTTGTAAACTCATCTGTTCGATTTTCTTTAACGGTCATTCGGGCATCTAGAAATGTCATTTCTTGGCCTACTTTCCCTTTGACTGCAAAATTAATTCCTGAGAAAGTCGAGTAAATGATGCTGTGACGCGTTTTCACGTTATGCGACGCAAATAGGACAAGAATGCGCGAATGTGGAGCACCCTTGGTGGATGGAAGTGGAAGTAGAGAGGGCAATGTCAGCAGAATAAAATCATCCCGAGGCTCAACTTCAGCTTTGGGCATTTCAACAGCACTGGGTGCTTCACCAAAAGAGACGGCACTGCCTGGAATAGAAAATTGCATGGTGCTGCTCCACAGCGCAACCACCACACACGTGACACACTTTTGGTGAGTGGCATTGATGCACGAGTTTTTTTCTTCAA